GTTCCTTATTGAGCTCGAATCCTTAGGGCCAACGTCTAATGAGTTTTATTAGGCTTGGGTGGTGTAGTGAGGAATTAGTGATTTTTGGGCTAAGGAAAGGGTGATGAAATCCCTCACCTTATCTTGATTATGGGGTTTTGCCCTTAAAAATATTTTGAAGTGTGTGCCAAATCAAGAACTTCCTCTATTATTCCCTCTTCTCCCCAAAACCCTCTCTTGAAACCCTAACTCCAAAAATGGTAGATCGATCAAAGCTCGTAGGCGGCCAAGCTTAGAGATCGATCAAGAAATTGATGAGATCGGAAGCAGCCTGTGAGATCGATGAAGAAATGGAGGGGTTTGAATAGCATCAGACACGTCGTCGCCGTTGTCGTCGGTGATCTCAACTCTCAGTAGCCATCGTCGTGGCTCTGATACCAGTGATCGAACTTAGAGAAGAAGAAAGAGGATTTATTTGAGGGGGGGCTCCGGTATGGGTAAGGAGTTTTATTTTCTTTTCTTCGTTGTTGTTTTCTCAAAGAGATTGATCCTCCTTTTATAGGGGCTAAACCCACTATCTCTACCCCCCTCAGATCCACCCCATAAGAGATTTTCTCTCAACAAACCCATGTTTCCACGATTTTTGTAACATAGAAATGAACGTTGATTTGGATACTAAAGACCAATTCAAAGTAATAGTTCCCGTTAGATATTTCTCAACCAAGTAACGAGCTCAATTTCCTCTCAACAGCCCAAAGAAGCGGGTAATCACATCCCACCAAAGGATGAGAACTCTCAAAATGAGATCCCAGCCCCCACGCACATGAAAATTTCAAAGGTTATGAGGGCTTTGTGGACATTTCAATACTTAGGGGGTTAAATGAAATTTCCCGAAGTTTGGCAGTTATCTCTCATGACTCAAGCTTTGGGCGACTCATGAAGTTTTACCTTTTTTTTAATAGTAATTTCTCTCCGCAAGAGTTGTTCTTAGTCTCGTAAAGTTCAATTTACAAGGCGAGTTAAAGAAAGGCATGAAGTGCAAAGGAGCGAGTGAATATGCATTCCAGATCGATACATTAGACCGTCAATGTATTTGATTTAATATTCAGTTCAATCTGTATGATAACTAACTGAGAAATCTTATGCCAAAAGTGTTTATATAAAAACGCACATAATTTAACTCTCGGCGGCGTGTATATTCTTTTCAGGGTATCTGTTTATTTATTATGAATTATGGATAATTTAAATTAGTGCTGCTTATGGGCCTTTTTATTTATTTATTTTTTTACGTTGTGTCACAGCTGGGCCTGTAGTAACTGGCTCATTTAATCTACTTTAAAAGAACGTCTCTTTAAATTAAACTGGCTTACAGTGAATTTCATTCTTCACAATGTGAATGTCCCATATTGCCTCCTGTAACAATTTTGCAACAAACAACAGGCACAATGGGATTATTTTCATTGTACTAAACCATAATTAACTGATACTTTAAAATGCTGTGATTTCTGTTTTTAATGTAAAGTGAAAATTAATATATTTCACATGAACCAATAGTATTAATTCACACAATATAAACATCATCAGTACTGTTTTGACTGTTATGATTGATAAAGTGGTCAGCTGCCTAAGTGGGACGAATGACAATGCAAAAGTATCCAACACACGGATCAAATAAACGGTTCATTTTCTTTGTCTTTACAAGTATAAACTTCTTCTTAAAAAGTTTGGTTCATTTTGAGATAACTCGTGATAATTTTGCTCTTGATACTATACAACATGTATATAATATCTAACAACCTAAATTGAGCAACTATATCTCGATGTTTTCCATTTTTTGTCAAGCATATGGCTTCACCTCCTTGCTGGAATTTCATCGCCACTAAAAACTAAGAAGATACTGTTATCAAAAAAATTAAGAATATAATGTTACCAAAAAAATTTAAGAAGGTACGAAACGTTAGGAGTTAGTTACTAGATACTGGCCACAAATTGTTAGACATCAAGATGGTGTCTTAGATAGATTGGTTAACTATCATGTGCCGTTATAGCATATATCAAGGTTAAGGTGCGCTACAAGGGGCCAAGATCATCACCACCAAGTTTCATAAACTTAGAAATATTTAACTTACCTTAAAAAGAGTAGTGAAGTCAGTCTTCAAAGTGGTAAGTGTTGTGCCAAAAGTTGAATCGAGAAACCAAACCAAACGTCAATCCAAGAGAGCCAAACGAACTAAATATCAATGCACAAACAAAACACCAATTTTAACGTGGTTCGGCAAGTTGCCTACGTCCACGGGGCAAGAAGGGGATGGGGTTTTTACTAATAGAGAAGAAGAGTATAAATTGAGATTACAAATCACCCGAAGGAACAAACTAATCTCACCAACAAAACTCTTAATCTCTCCAAACAAAACCCTAACCAAAAGCTCAAAAAAAATACCTCTTTTTTTGCTCCAAATATCCCCCAATCAATGCTTAGAACCCGGTTGCATAATGGAAGTATTAGAAGTAAGAAGTAGGTTATGGAAGTAACTTTCAAAGCTATGAAGTAGGAAGTAGTGGAAATTTTTTTTTTTTTTTTGTTTCATATTTTTTTAGAAGTAATAGAAGTAGAACTTCTTCCTCTTCATTTACTTTTTTTGTTTGGATAACATTTGGAAATATTACTAGGAAGTAATTTTATCATTGGAAAGTTGTTAGAAGTAACTAATAAAGGAAATATTAATAAAAAAATTATTTATGTCTTAATTAATATGTATTTCAACTACTTCCGAGCTACTTCTGGGTATTGAGGATTGAAAAAATATTTTGGAAGTAAGGATGATATGTAGGCGCCATATAAGCATTTAGGAAAGTATTGAAAGTAAGTTTTTCAGAGAACCAAACATATTTTTTTGCTTGGAAATAGCAGAAGTAGCTTTTACTTCTTTTACTTCAGCTACTTCACAATTACTTCCGTGCAAACAAACATGCCCTTAATCAAAGCCCAATCAAAGCCTAAACAAAGTCAAAGAAACCCTAAAAAACGTGTCTCTATTTATAACAAAACACAATCCCAAACTGATTGGGATTCTAAAAACGAGTCTGTCACATCCTGGTGTGGCACACACCACACCCATGGCAAACAGAGCAGATTCTGCCACACCAGGGTGTGGCAGACACCACACCCATGACAGACAGGGCAGATTCTGCCACACCCATGGCAGACACCACACCAGGGTGTGGTGGAGTCTGTTTTGTTTATTCTTCATGTTTTTCTCAATTCATTCCTCAATTCCTTCGCCGTTTTCACGGTAAGAAATTTTGCATGCTTGGAGAAATTTTTCATGCTTGGAGAAAATTACAAGAGACCTACATCATCTTCATCTCAACCATCTTATAGTTCTACATCTAAAACATAAGGGCGAATTTACCTGCTAAATCTATCTACGTCAAAACAACTTAAGTTTTTTTACGTCTTCGGATTTTGCTCCAGCGCTCTACTCATTTGATACAATCTGTTTGTGACGCAAAACTGAAGAAGTTGGTCCCAAGGAAACCAGTGTGGATATTTTAGCAATTTAAAGATTCGATCAAATTAATGTTTTAGTTCCAACCACCATAGTTTCAACTAGACTTAAAACTTTATAACTAATCCGTTTTTACTAACAAAATTCTTAACATACAGGATTCCATAGTTTTTATCAAACGTCCTTCCTTATTTATCCGAGTATAACGTTGCGCGGTTGAAAATAGGAAAATCCAGTTGTGTTACCGCAAACAGGCATAAAACACACGAACAAATGTTATGATCATATCATGTTTACTTTTCTAAGTTTAGCAATAAATTATTTTGTAAACAAACATTGTATTACTTTGCAAGTTGACGCGGATCTACTTTAACACTTGTTAAATTTGATTCTATAAAAAAAACTCCCTAAATGAACCAAGGGTTGAAAACTCGAGTTCCTTTGAAATGCAAAGGTAATTAAATAAATGATAAAAAAAGCTTTTTTGTAAATATAAATTGATAAAATTTTATTTAAATTTAAAAAGTTGCTTAAAAATATCCTTTTCATAACATAAATTAAACCTTAATAAACAGATAATTTTTATTGGTGAAGAAAATTTTTCATACGCAGTCTCACGTGTATTTGTCTCTCAACCAACGAAGTGAATGCGTAGACCCTGCATCTCATTGATGTTCGTCAGTTGTCAAATATTAAGGACTTGCATCTTGTTTCTGGGTTAAAGAAAGATCTAGAAACAAAACTATTATAAAATTACTTATATTCTAATTATTTGTTAATTTTTTAAGGACTTATGTGGCCGAAGGGAATCCAATCACTACGGTTGACCTTGGTAATTATTAACATACGTATTTATCTGCCGATTAAGCCAAACGTATTTGCTGACAGCATTCAAAGTAGTCACCTGGACCAAAACTGTCAACATCACAGTGGCCTTTCCGTAAATTAAAGGGTTGATTTTGGTCAACACGCTTCAACTTTAGGGGACGCTGCACTGAAACCCCTGATCTTTGTAATTTCACTTAACCCCCTGGAGTTTAGAGGTTGTTGCACATGACAAACCTGAACCCGTTTTCCCCATTTAAATTCACCTAAAAATTTATTATGTAATTCACCAAATTAGCATCATCAACTATAAGTCTATAACATATCAAATGGTAATCATGTGACAAAGAGTATAAATATTATTTCTTAGCCTCAAAATCTTTTACTAAAAAGAACAAAAGAGTAAACTTTTTGGGTTCTTTTAATGTCATACGTTAGTTAAAATTGAGGATGCTAATTCGCGTGATTAAAAGAGAAGCTTTCAAATAGGATTTGGCGGAATAAAAAAAATAGGGGATTGTGAGCAACAACCCCTCTAAAATTCATGGGAGTTTAGTGAAATAAAAAATTTCAGGGGGTTCATTGCAACACTCCCAAAAGATCAGGGGTGTTTTCTCAAATTAACCCCAAATTAAAAGGTCCGAACCTTTTTGCTTTCTCGGACTTAAAAACTTTATTTTACGCTAAACCTCATAAGAACTCACAAAATTACAAAACTGCCATGGCGGAGGAGGAGAAGGTGGTAATGGTGACTGGAGCTTCCTCCGGCATCGGTCGCGATATTTGCCTCGACCTCGCCAAGGCCGGCCGCTGTAAGATCATCGCGGCCGCTCGAAGGATCGATCGGCTCAAATCGCTCTGCGATGAGATTAATGGGTTCGGATCAGGATCCGGATCCGATAAGGTGCGAGCGGTGGCGGTGGCGCTCGACGTTAGCGCGGGAAGCTCGGAGGTCGAGGCTTCGGTCGAGAAGGCGTGGGGTTTCTGGGGAAAGATTGATGTTTTGATTAATAATGCTGGCATTCGAGGTAATTGATTTGAGTTAAATGATTTTTTTTTTTAATAATACTTTGTTCGTTTTGTTTATTAGCTTATCTTATTTTATTTTATTTTTAATTTTTGGGTTGAGGAATTGGGATTTTATTCTGTTTGTTTCTTACTTGCTATCCATTTCATTTAGTTTAGAAATAGCAAAAAATTTGTAAACAAACTCATTCATAATTTTTTTTTTCTAAAAATAGACCCCCTTGAGTTTTTTTAACAAAAATCGACTCATGTTGTCTTAATACAGTTTCTAAATAGTCGAGGTTGTCAACCCTGACTATTTAGTGCATAGAATGTTAGAGTTTAGGATTATAAATGGGGGGTTTACAATCTTCTAAATAGTCGGGGTTGACAACCCGACTATTTAGGAACTAGATTAAGATAAAATGTGTCTATTTTTGTAAATAAAACTCAAAGGGTCTATTTTTAGGAAAAAAATATGAATAAATTTATTTAGAAAAATTCTTCTTTAGAAATAAGTCATATATTTTTGTATAAATTCTTTCTGAAATTTCTGTACAATGAATATATATATATAATGATATTTGTAAAATCTAATATAAATTCTGCAAGAAGAAATGTACAAAAGTTTGTTATGTGATGATTAGTTTGAATAGTCAAGAAATCATTTTTTTAGGCTAGGCCCTGTTTGGTTCGTTTCCGAGAAAACATCAAATTTTGGTTTCCAGTAAAGAAACCCAACTTGGACATTGAACCATTTTTCTTGTTTTAAGCCTATTTTCTACCTGTTTGTGATAGAAAGGGCCGTTTAGCGCGGCCAAAAAAAAAGAAGGAAAAGAAGGAAAAGAAACACGCGTGGATTCATAGGAAAAGGTACACAAAGTGGGTTGTTGAGCGTTATAGGGTTCATACATCCATGTTTATTTCAGAAATTTTTCTTTATACAATTGCTTTCTATGAAGTAGGAAAATTGACCAAAGTCTAGGAAAAGTAAAGTCAAATCCTTGTTTTTGAAGAGCTTACACATTGTTGTCATCTCAGCATCTCCCCCTCTCTCATTTTATTTATTTATTTATTTATTTTTCTAGTTTTGCTTTTCTATTTTTTGACGTTTGAAACAAACGAGAGATTTACAAATTTTTTTTTTCTTTTTTTTTTTCCTTTCCTATAATCATGGTGAACCAAACACAAAATTAACATTTTCAAGAAATTCATAGAAAGCATTGGATGTGATTTTTTGCAAGGCATTCCATTTCCTCTAATGAAATGAACCAAACAGATACGAAATGGATTTCCTACTGTGTGTCCTTTACACGTTGTTATTTCTATGACATGGACCTCACGTGACATTCTTTTTTCTTTTTCTCTTTTCATGCAACCAAACAGAAAGTACGAAAAGTGTTACAGGAAACCATTTCCTGTAGCACTGTTTTGTCTTTTTTTTTTTTTAACAACCAAACAGCCCTTAATAAAACCTCTTTCATCAATGAAATGACAGAATATTTAAATCAAACAACATGGAAAAGGTACTATGGTATTTGGAGAAAATTGATCAAATTCGAAGAATTACTCAAATTCAGATTCGGACTCAAAGAAGCTAATTCATTATTCAGAAATATGAAATGGCCAGTAAGTTGCAGCATTTGGTGAAATTTATCTTAATTGGAGTTATACTTGTGTAGATATCTCCAGGCCTCATTTAATCTTTCGTTAAGTTGGAAGGAGTTGTTTATTTCATTCATACATGTTCTGCTTATTTCTCTTTAATTACATGATAAAATTTATCAGTCACTGGAGTTGAGCTTTTTCATGTATCTCTAGACCCACGTTAGCATTTCTTTAAGTTGGAACAAGTTGCTTGTTTGATTCATATTTGTTATTACTTCTTTTTTACGTTCATGACGAATATTCTACCAGAAGTTATATCCTCATGCTAACCAAACTTTACTTCTAATATCCATAGGTGCTGTTAATAATCCACTTGATTGGCCTGAAGAGGAATGGGATGACAACATAAGGACTAACTTAACTGGATTATGGCTAGTATCTAAGCATGTTTGTAGACGAATGCGTGATGCAAAGGTTAAAGGATCAGTCATCAATATTTCGTCTATTGCTGGTCTCGATCGTGGGCAGCTGCCAGGTGCACTTGCCTACACTGCATCGAAGATGGGCGTAGTTGCTGTTACCAAGGTAACAAAGCTAAGTCACTTCTTCCCTCTTCATAATAACTCGAGTTTCTCATGTTCATTCTGCATGTTTCTTCTGTTAGAATTAATATATGATCCTTGGTCTTCACCATAACTTCGGAGTTTTGTTGTAATGGTTAGAGGAACTAAATTTAAAATGGAATCAGAGCAACTCAGTTTCAAATCTCACATGCCACGAATTAAAAACGGGTATTTTAAAACTTGACACCGCTGCGTGAGTCCAGGTTTCGACCCATAAAAAGGGCGCTCAACCTGCGGGGGCATGTTAGAATTAATATAAAACTATGATCATTGATCATCACCATAACTTTAGAGTTTTGGTGTAATGGTTAGAGGAACTAAATTTAAGATCTTCATCTCGTATTTGCAATGCTTCAAAATGGATATCTTCCATCTCTTTTTATCTGAAAATTGCAAATGTAAATGCTTGGAAAGCATGTGGCTGAGTAATTTGTGTTTAGTATGCACACTTGTTGAGACGATAGAAGTTTGGGGAAGATGCGCATGGTAATAGTAACATCAGATATGTAAAAATGCGTAAATTAGTAAATCGTTCTACTGATACGGCATTCTTCAACTGTGCCTTAATTTCATCAGCGTAGCTTTTAATCATCCTGAACTCTATTTGAATTAATAAAAGTATCATGAGGATGTTAAATAATTGGTACTTTATCAGTATGTAGAAGTAATGTTTGGTAATGCTAATATCCGGTGTTTAAAGATACTTATAAGGACAGGTGTTATTTTGGCTACCTAATTAAGAATCCAAAGGCACTTCTTGCAGTTTTCTTGACAACAGAATGTTCACCTATTTGTTCTGCAGATCCATCATATCTACAATGTTGCACTCTTCTGAAGCATCAAAGTTCACAACGGCAGTTAACTTCTTCAATTGAATGATACCACTTTTTTGCTCTTTAATACCCCCTTTTTTCCCTCTATAATACACCTACGAACCTCCTAATCCAGAGTATTTTATTTTTAGATAGTAATCAGAATTTAGTACTTAAGAGGGTCCTCATATTTTGCTGGTAAAATTCTGAACTAGTTAGTCATCAGTTCGCTTACATTAAAGGTAAATGTCCAGAGATACTTGAATGTCTTCATCTAAACAAGTAGACATATTATCAGGATCCTTCCTCACTTTCCTTATCATAAATCTACAGGTAATGGCGTTGGAGCTTGGTCAGTACAGTATCAGAGTGAATGCGATTGCACCCGGATTGTTCAAATCTGAGATCACTGAAGGCCTAATGCATAAAGATTGGTTGAATAATATTGCCATAAGAACCATTCCCTTGAAAACATTTGGCACCTCTGATCCAGCGATAACATCTCTTATCCGTTATCTAATCCAAGACTCTTCAGAGTATGTCAATGGAAATATCTTCATTGCTGATGCTGGAGCAACGCTCCCTGGTGTTCCCATCTTCTCTTCCCTTTAAGAAGCTTTTACTTGCTTCTTCACAGTTTTCTTTTATTTCCTTCAGAAATTGTTCAGGCCGTCTAAAATCCCCATTAAATTTTGTATATCCTTTACTTGGGAGTAGTTAAATTTCGTATTGTTAGTGTGCGTACGTCGATAAACTTACAATTGGTGCTTTGGAAAGATGTCGATAAACTTACAATTGGTGCTTTGGAAAGATGTAATAAATTAGGAGTAAATTGGCCGGAAAATAGGAGGCATTCTGATGGTGTAATGTTTGTTGCATATTTCTGATTTTCCCTGCATAATGATGTACTTAAAGAGAGTTGAGATACACTAGTATCCAAAGTGTGGATGTTAAAGATCCAAGTCTAGAATTTGATTTCCAAAATTGAAAATTCATATTGTTAGATGTAATGTAATAGACTAGCCTGTCAAGAACCAAAATTGAATAAATTTGTTGAGCTTTCAATGATGTAATAAGAGGCACAAGATTACTAGATTTTGTAGAACATTAATTCCGACTGTGTAAAATGTGTAGTTAAAACATATTGAAATCACTAGGTATTAAAAATTAATAGTTGATTAGAAGTGAATCACATTCTGTGATGCTGATTCTCGATTTATTAGTAACCCGAATCTTGAAGTTTTGTCCATAGTATCCACACCTTGGATACTAATTAGTACGGTTTTCTAATTTCTACAAGGATAATAACTTGTTTTTCTCATCGTTAATTCCAAAATTTTATGACACCGTTAACCACAAGATCACAAACGATTCAATTCTCATGCTTTCAGATTACAAAATGAGGCCAGAGTACTCCTAGAAAAGGTATGCAGTACAAAGAGCTTAAAGAGGGAGTGGGTCATGACTAAACATTCTTGAGGTTTCTACAGGTAATTCGAAGCCTCTTCCGCAAAACCATAAACAGTTTAGAGGGACATTCGCTAGAACTAACATCTCGCGTTTACAGGATACAAATCCTAGCAGAACCACCACTATAGGAACAGGGGGGTTTCAAACAAACAGAGGATAAAATCCCTAAACTACGGTAGCTGCAGTCAACTTCTCCAGTCTGTACTTAAGACTTTGACACACAAACGCAGCGTCTATCAAGAACCCAGACTGCAAGGATGCGAAGGAGAAAAAAAAAAGAAACTGGAGTTTCATGCAGAGAAATAAGGGATATTACAACATGCCCCATTAAAATGTGTGAAAACAGCAAAATCTAGCAAGCAGCAAGAACACAGCAACTAGAAGCACTGTACTGTCCCTGCTACACAACTTACAGCCTATCAATTCATACAGGTTATGATATGGTTTGATCCAAAGAGCAAATGTTTCAAATCAAAGAAAAAAACCAGCTGGAAATGAGTTCAATGGTCTGATATAAAAGATGTTCTCTGATCTTAGCACAAAGAAATGGCAGCTTAACCATTAACACAATCTCCACTTTCGAATCTTCAGATTCAATAAACCACTGACCAGGCAGTGCTCACTCTTCCATTGCATCGCCCTCAGCTACTTCCACTTTCTTCTTCAATGGAGTGATCTTAGTTGACAAGACCTCTGCAATCACATTACAGTCAGTGAACAGAAAATGAAAGATGTTAAGACTGTGCCACATCTATAAAAATTATGGACTGGATTACTGACCAGTATGCCCCTTGGCAAACGAATAGCCTCTGGAACTAACATAGGTCCTTGGATTTGGCAATTGATGGTTTCTCAAATACTCCGTCTTACCCTAGAATACAAGAAAAGGTGAGGCAAATCTACATGTGTAAATGCGATGTTGGAAGTAGAAGGACCCAATGAACTTGGAGTATCCCAGGAAGAGAGGAGGAAAATAATGAGAAGAAAGAATGCATAAATGGATAGTCACATGATGCAATACCTTGGTGATTACACAAACATCAACATTGCTTCCACTTCCCAAGTCATTGAAGATGCCAGAGCATATTGCCTCACATACAAGTTGTATTCCCTCATCTCTCTGCATAAAGGTTCACATGATTCATCAACATATCGAATATCTAGAGTGCAGTATATGGACAAATGAGCAGTGCGGGGGGGGGAGGGGACGTTGAAAAGTAATTCGGAAACATAAGGTTCAGACCGAATAGACTTAAAAGTCTAGCATCTGGCAGTTCACTTTGCTAAATGAGCTTTTAAGAGACGGACTAGTTTTGAGGTCCACCCATGCAGTCAAATTGGATCTGTGGTTAACCACCCTCTTCTCTTTTTAGCTCATTCAACGAAATAATCCACCACCTCATAACCAGTAACCCTATATATCCATAATATTGTAAATAAATATATTGTACATATGCATATATGCATTCATTTATAAATATTTGAAGCTTTGGAGTGACCTTAGAGAACAAAAGGATAAATATTTTATGGTTCACCTTATAAGAAGAAAGCCCTATGATAGTACTCTCTAGCAATTCAAAAAGATTAAAATGGAGCTATAGGTACTAGTGAGCCCAAGCAGTTGCATGTACCATAGCATATGCGACGTAAGACCACAACCTTCATATATTCCTAATCTATCAATCATATGCAGGAGGAAAATTTTTGAGTTGCCAACCATAAAGGATCTCTGGCAGCCTAGAGAAACTTGAAGGTTATCAGCTAGATAAACAATGTTAAAAAGACTACTTGGAACAACAAGGGATTTTCAGTCGTGGAAGAATCTTTATCCACATTTCAGTGAGAAACTTACATGCAATTAACTTACGTTTCTAATCTTCAATAAGATAAGCATATAAAAACATATAGCATGAATGCATTTTGTTTCATCAAGTGCAAGCAAAACATGTAATATTTAGAGAAATATCTCCAACAAACATAATATTGAATCCTCTGTGAGAAATATAATCTTTCATAAGTAGACATGCCCTTATACTATTGGATATCATAACCTCCTCAATAAAAATTAGAAAGAAAAAAGAAATCCTAACAGAAACTACACCAGCTCGGGACAAAACATATAAGTAAATAAAGAGTGATCATTAATCATACATACCATAGTAGCTATCTCTAGCAGAATAAGAAAACAAATCTCATGCACATTCTAACTTACTTCTAAGCCTTCTCTGAATTTTGATTCAAAAATAGCCATAGCAGCAAGTGAACCTGATCCCATTGTCGCAAATGGAAGAGTGTCAGTGGAACCGTGAGGATATACCTGCGTATGCAGGCAAATGAGTATTGCACATCTTATAAGTAGCCCAAAAAAATCTCGCAAGAATTTACTCACAGTGTGCAAATGTGGTCCAGTGACATCAACTCCTCCAAGGACCAGGGCAGCACTGACATGACCTTGATAGCTGCAAGGGATTTAAAAATGTAATAAATACATAAAACTGTTATCTTAATGTTGACAAATAGCAAAGGGAAAAGTAAAATGAAACCCACTTCGCCGAATGCAAAGCAATTCACCTGAAAAGATGCGACTTTAAGAGGGTAAGAGCAGTAACAACCCTTGATTCTCGTCCAGTTGCATAGCGATGCAGCTGCAGCTGAGAACTGACCATATCTTCCAAACAAAAAAAAGGTTACTTCTTTTTTATTATTTTACTAATGTCATAACAAAAAATGAATACCCTGCTAATGTCAACGAAGTTACAATTCACATATTAGGAGCCATGTAATTCTGCAAATCCAAACAAAAGGCACCAATGCACATTCAAGAACAAACCTGTTACAGCCTCTGTATCGGCAGCTGTTCCTGCTCCACAACAGTAAATGTTAGGAGCCATATAATGGATCTTCTCACAATTCTTATCAGCAACTATAGGTCCTTCTGTGGCCCTAGTATCTGCTCCAAGAATAACTCCATCCTGAAATAAAAATTGATATTATGGTATTAAAACAGATAGGATAATGAGGGTAAAGTCTCTTCAGTGAGTGTGAGCATGCGTGCAGATGTGCGACTTGCATGCGTACTATTCTCTAATTCTTTTTCCTTATTTTATTTTTTCAGTTTGGGCTGGGGGTAGTAATTTGTCCCATATGTGCCCCACTTTACATCTCCAATTGTGCCGGTTACCAATTAGCAGTTTACCATTGGAGCATTCTGCTGGGCTGATTGTGTAATAATAGGGATTACAAGTTCTAGGTAGAGATATGACAAGAAACTTTCTATAAAAAGGTGAAACAAAAGGAACTTAGCTACGAGTCAGCTTAAAAATGGTAGACAAAGCCTGACAACCAGCTTCAGTAGTGAATTGAATAGGCAGTCTTCAGAAGTTCAATCAACAAGTCCTATGGAAATTTTTTTTAAACCTAAATTAACTCTCTTAGTGCTTTAGTTTTCACTTGTAAAAGGGAAAGCTTGGGAATCAATGTGGCCCAACAGGAAAGTGAGTCATCTCTTATATGTTCTGCTTGAAATTGGCAGCAGAAATAACACCACCCCTGTTCGGAAGGTGATTATGCTAACTACTTGGTTTGCCACTAAGCTTCTTCCTTTTGTTTGACAAGCAACAATTGTTGTAAGATCTATCATTTCAGTCCTAAGGGCATTGCCAAAGGTAAACCACCAGCAATCAACTGCCTGACTATCAAATTGGATCAAAATTAATTGACCAAATTTTTACTGGCACATTTTAAAAATTTTAACTATGATCAAGTTGAATGCAAACAAAGATGAAGATTGATCGACATGTCTTGCACTCAGTTCAATCAGAAAACAAAGTTTTCTAATCTAATTAAGAGTCTCCAAAAATATAAATTTAAATCTCATTGGAGTTCTTAAGAAACATAATCTTCTAAAATCATGTTGAGATTCTATGAAAACCACTTATATTTATGTGCATGTTTGGAGAAAAAGCACTGGCAACCCATGGCTCTTCCTACTCTTTGATTATTGATGGCGGTTTTCATCAATGTATGGATGGTTATTCCATTGATAGTCATAGAGAGATATATAAAAGAAATTTTCAAGATGATAGCACATTGCTAGTAAGAGAGGATCCTCTTTTAGTATATATTACCCTTCTTTCTATGTGCTCTCTCTTGTATAAACATGGTCTGTAAAATGAAATTTCTTGTATTTGTTAAGAGCTTTTCATATTGGCAATTGGTGATTCATTTGGCAATTGCATTTAAAAGATCCAGTGAGGATGAGTTGTCCACCCTTATTATTTGTACCAGTCAGGATCAGATGTACGCCCATTTATTAGTAATTTTCTCTCTAGTAGAGGGATCTTCTAGACGTTACCTATGGAGGTTTGCCGGTTTTAGGTAAACCATGTAGCTTCTGTGCTACAAGTTTGTGAAACCAACCTCTTGTCTGCAGATGGTTTTTAACGTGACTTTACTTTTTCCATGTGTTGATTCCTAACATGGGGAGTTGTACATAGCAGTTTTGCTCGGAGTCAAAGACTATGGACTATCTTCTCTGCTAGTGTGCATACAAGCACATGGGAAGAAATAAATACAGGCTGCACATGCAGCGCAGAAAAGGTAATATCTTTAGAATTATAATGCTTACTAATATGTATCCAGTCAAAAAATGAACTATTTAATTTTCATATAATTATTGTGCTCTCTCAACTTCACTTCAAGCCAAAAAAAATGGTGCTTGGTTCGCTGTCTACGCCATTTTACAGAATTTGTTTGGCTGGATGTTTTGCATCTGAACATGTAGTTGCGAAATTGCGATAACAAAATAAGAGGTGTTTGTCATGGTTTGAGGCTTTGAGCTGCATCTGAATAGATTGCAGTTTCAATACATTTCTAGATAATGTGTACTAATGTCACTGCATCAGATTTATTATAATAATAACATGACCTGCAAGGTTTTCTCATTTAAATAGATACTAAAAGAACATTAGAAAATATACGCTCATTCATAATGATTGATGGTGAAGTTGCAACAGCTCAGCAGCATAATCCAGACACTATGACGCATTTTCAACTACTAAGTTATATTTACCACCCGAATAAATATTCAAAAGGGACCAGCTAAACAAATGCATGCCCAAATTTCTACTTACTACCAAAATTTTTAAAAGAGGGTACAGAAATAAAATAATTAACTAAACTATCAAGTTTGATGCCTCCCCCACTTTCAATCTATTGTTCGGTCAAATGTTTTCACATCACAACATGTTGTCACACAAACTGCGATGACTTGTGGTGTAGCTGGGGCTGCATCTGAACCGAGCATTATTCCAAGTTCCCAACAACATATTGGGGTATGTGGAATAGTGCTTCCACATCAAATTTTCTAAATAATAACATACATGGCAAGTTTTTCCCCTTTCAGACAAATTTTGAAAAGAGGATTAAACTAGAACTATGCATTCTTAACAGCTTGGTAATGTGCTCTCAAAAGCTAGCAAGGCAAATAGTATTATGCAGCTACAACAACAGTAGTAAATAAACACTATCAAAGATGCATAGTGACTCCAACAACAAGCAACCAAACAACAAGATGTTTCAATGAGTGATACAAACACCTCACTAATCACGATAAAAAGCACAAAATTACAATAAGTAACCTCATCGTAAGCTAGATTCAGTGTGCCCTTTTACTCCTAGGATGTAACTTGTTCAATTTCATCCACCATAATTGGTTTTTTTATTGCACCCAAAAACAAAATATTCAAAAAAAGAATCAATTTTTTTACAAACTGAGATATCCAAATCTGTAAGAAAACAAGATTAAATAAAGTGATGCTAACCTTGAATATGAGACCGACGATGGTGGTCCCAGTCTTTCTGAAGGTTGGAGGCTGCATCCCTTTCTTAATCAGCATCTCATTTCTCACGCACAGATCGAAGCTGAATCCTCCCTTTGATGCTCGAACATCGACCAGATCTTGGTTCCCCATTTCCCTAAAAACCCACAACAACAACAAAACCCTAATCGATCGAATCTTATAACATCGACGAATTGAAGTGCAGCAATTTGATCGAAGTGAAGAGAAAGCTTACCGATTAGTTTAGATTTTTAGGGTTTTTGAGAGATCGAGAAGAGAGAAGGATTAAAAAATAACGGGGGCTTCAATTTTAGGGGTTGGAATTTGGAGATTGGAGGAGAAAATAGTGCGTGCTTGTATGCCAAGAAAAGCCCAGTGGGTTCGGTTACGGTCTACTTAACCCGGATCCGACCCAAGACATATTCGATTTCGGGTCTCGCGAACCCGACCCGATTAGATGTAGGGTTGAAGTCTGACCCAATACCTAATTCGGATTATTTGAAGATAAAATCGAAATTGCCAATTCATTACCTTGAAGGGAGTTCCCCGTATTTTGATATTTTCAAATTAGTCCTCAAAATCTTTTACGTGCTTTGAAGTTAGTCCCCAAATCTTCATATTCTGAACTAGTTTCTAATTAGTAGTTGAGTGAAAATTTTGTTGGGGGACTAAGGATCAATCTAGTATTGTTTTTTGGGTGTCTTTGCTTTTTTATTTTTAAGAAGTAGCAAGAAATGGTGTTTTGTGAAAATAATTTAGCATGCTTATTGAAATTGCTTCCACTTTTAAAGGGGTGACTGTTTGCGTCAAAAGTTGGTTTTGTCATGGAATTCATTATATCTTCAGTCGATTACAATAAATTCAAAAGAAATAGCCTTTTTATAAGACTTCTCTTACACAACAAAATGAAAATTACAACTCTTAGGAAACAAACGCAGGATCGTTGTATGGATCACTGCTTGCGTGGGATCTTTGCCTGTGCCGGGGGTGCGTTAGCCCGTGGACCATCAAATCACATATTCTGATTGAATCGTGAGGGGTTTATGATTCTGACTTCGTTTATCGAAGTGAGAATTGAAACGATATCTTATCGATGTAAGATAGTCGTTCTTCTTAAAATCAAGTCAAAGCCTGAATATCAAGGGATTGCCGGAAGCTCAAGAACGTCTCGCCCAGCGAGACAGTAAATACTATCTTGGAAAACGAATATTCTTGACAGTTTCTTGCTGTAACTGTCTTCCCACGTTTTAAACTCCGTTATTCTGGCAGTTATCAACGTGATTCTCGCCCACGACGTTCCCCACGTTCTTGAACAGTTGGTGGCCACGTGTCGGCGGTTATAAAGTGGTTTCTAACTTCTTTGAAAACTGTCTCATGGGCGAGACAGAGAATGCTGTCTCGCGGGCGAGACAGAGAATGCTGTCTCGCCTGCGAGACAGAGAATGCTGTCTCGCCTGGCGAGACAGTAAAGACTGTCTCGCATGCGAGGCATCCCAAACTTGTGTTCTTCTGCCTTTTTGGATGATTTCCTCTTGAGCTGTATTTGGATATCTTTCAGCATTTTTTGACGCCTACAGTGACTTTAAAAGCAGTCTGAGATGCTTTTAAAATCAATTTCTACTTTTTTAGTTTGTATATCATATATTCCTTGTATCTTTTAATAATGATCATTAATTAAGCATAGTTCTACCTAACATCTTAGCTACTTTTTAAATAGTTTTTTTTTGTTTGATTACCAAACTGTTATTTTTAGCAGCTCCTATAAGTTGCTCAGTAAGTTATTTTTATAAGCAACTTATTATAAGCTCTAACAATATCAAACTGGCCCTAAGGACCATTTTGGTATTAGCTTTTTTAGGGTGTTTCTGCTTATTTTTTTAAGAAGCAATTAAAAATAGCGTTTGATGAAAATTTTTAGACATGCTTATTAAAACTGTTTCTGCTTTTAAAGATGTGTTGCTTTTAGAAGCAGTATGGGAAATCTTCTAAAAGCAGCTACTGCTTTTTTTTTAGTTTGTATATCATATATATCTTTTATCTTTTAACAATAATCATTAAGCACAATTCTACCAAATACCTTACCTGTTGTTTAAACATATTTGATATTTATTTACCAAACTGCTAATTTCAGCAGCTTATATAAGTTGCTTCTATAAGCTATTTTATAAGTAACCTATTGTAAGCTTCAATTAATAAGCAACTTATTATAATTAAGATACAGTAATATCAGATTGACCCTAATTTCAGAACATTTAAAAGATATTGTGCACTCAAAACTTAGAAAGATTTCATTCAAGGAATGTATCTTCGAAAATAAAACTAGAAAAGTAAGTTAAGTAATAGTGTTTTCTTGGTTGCAATCAACACTTGATGTCGTTGAATTTCAATTATGTTACGTCGTTTGGGTATGTGTAGATTTGCAAATTGTGCTATATATACACGACATGCTTTATCAGTGGACTCCGATTTGTGACAAAATCTAATGATGTCACCATACTAATATGTTTATTTGTATGATTTTCTGCTACCAAGGATTGTAGAGGATGTGATGCCTACTCTCTTCTAAAAAAGTTTTTTTCAGGTAGAACTCCTACAAAAAAGTTAATGGCATTATTCAACAACATCAAGGCATGCAGAATCATAGGTATGCATAAAAGGCAAGCTTCTTATTCTTCCATGCGCAAATGATTGCGATAGTCAAGTCATTTATGTGCAAAAAATGATCTCTAACATTTGGTACAAAGCCTAACTTCTCACATGCACACCAAAAGCATGAATAGCAAATTTGGCCTCAATGAATAGATACAATGTATACTCTTATGTCATGATAGGAAATAAAAGATGATGAATAAAAGATAAGTTATCACACACAGCTGTGATCTCAATCCCTTGAAAGGAACAAGGAACAGCTCTGTAGTTTGAAGTTTGAACTACTTCAAAGTATGCATGTCATTGCTAGCGAGAAAAATGTTACTTGAAGAATAGTGATGCCTACGTCACGTATCAATCTCCTAGGTTCATTTGAATCTAGAAAGTAACAATAATAACTTGTAAAATAGTAATACTAAATATAGTAGGATTAAGGAATATAGTTCAGAAAGCTGATTCTGACTTTGGATTCTACCACTAATCCAGTTTAATGTTGTGGGTCTAGCCCAAGATAAAGCCCACATGAGGTACACATGAATTAAAATTCTATCTAAAAGATAATTCAGATGATCAAGCTGTAATAGGAATAGGTTTGGAGGACCTGAAAATAAAATTCATTTATAAAGGAATTCTATTCATGAGAAACCTAAACTATAGTAAACCGTGAATAGTAACAGGAGAGAAGAAAAGAGGGGAGAGAGAGAGAAAAAGTGAGAGAAGTTCATATTCCGGAGAGCTCGGTTGTCCGATTGTAGTGATTTAAAAGTCATTGTCTTCAGAACGACGACGCCATCAATGGTACGGTGTTGGTTTCTCCGCGGGTGTTAGAGATTTTTGGTGAGATGAGTTTTAGGTTCTGGTGCCGTAAAGGTAACAATGTATCTTTCTCTTGTGATTTAATCCTCAAGTTCAGGTGTAACTTGGAGGGATTGTACTCTAGATTCATAGAGAAATATTTCTCTCTGGATTGCCCCGTGGACGTAGGCATAATTTGCTAAACCACGTTAAATCTTGGTATTTGCTTGCTTGTGGTATTTTTATTGGTATCGTTATTCATTTAGTGTTTAATTCCGCAGATTAATCTCCATAAAATCTCTAACAAGTGGTATCAGAGCACTAGTTTGAGGCGTGCTTTGGGATGAAAAAGATGGAGAGTTTTGACACAATGATGAAATTAGATAGTTCCATTTGGCAAGTATAGAATTCTAAGATGGAAGATATTCTATATTGTAAATATTTACATGACCTTATTGAGAGAGATGAAGCCAAGCTAGAAAAGATGACTGATAAAAAATGGGAGAAATAACACAGAAAGACGATTAGTTATATTCATATGTGGATCGACGTTAGTATGTTTCATCATGTATCGGGTGAGACTAATATGAAGTCTCTTTGAAAGAAACTTGAGGATCTCTACGAGCAGAAGACCGCGGGAAACAATGCATTTATTATGAGGTAGTTGGTGAACTTAAAATTCAAAGAAGGAAGCAACATAGCAGCGCACTTGAATGAGTTCAATAGTTTGATTAATCAGTTAGCTAATGAAGATGATTATCGATGATGAGCTACAGACTTTATTGCTATTGAGTTCTTTGCCAGATAGTTGGGAGACACTGGTTGTGACAGTCATCAATGCAGCTCTAGATAGTATGTTATCGATGAGTATGATTACTAGTAGTTTATTCAATGAGAAGACTCAGAGGAAGTCTACCAGCACAAATAACTCACGGGCACTTGTCACGGAGAACAGGGGCAGGAGCAGGTATAGGGACCAGTCCAGAGGTCATGGAACATTCAAGGACAGATCAAAGTCTAAAGGGAGAGGTTGTTTTTATTATGGAAAGCCAGGTGTAGGCTGTCTAAAAATCACAATAGATAGTTTATCCTCCATCAAACACCGATGATGGAAGTTACAATCTGACGACTTCCAGAAGGCTACAATTTGAAGACTTTCACGTAGATCGCTGAAGGTTACAATCTGACGACCTTCACGACAACCGATGAGAGCTCTAGTTCAACAGCATTCACAATCAACATCGGGAGTTACAATCTGACGACTCTCATATTCTCAAGGAGCCAAGACGAAGATTACAAGACAATGATCTTTGCAACGCTATGACAAAAGAGATTACTTTGTGATAATCTCTTCAAGACAAGACGCGGAGGTCTTCCCCGTGTGCCAACATCAAAACGCTAGGGTCGAACCCGCGTTACAACATCAAAACGCGAGGGTCAAACCCACGTTACAACATCAAACGCTGGGGTCGAACCCGCGTTACAACATCAAAACGTGAGGGTCGAACCCACGTTACAACATCAAAACGCCAGGGTCGAACCCGCGTTACAACATCAAAACGCCAGGGTCGAACCCGCGTTACAACATCAAAATGTGAGGGTCGAACCCGCGTTATAACATCAAAACGCGAGGGTCGAACTCGCGTTACAACATCAAAACGCGAGGGTCGAACCCGCGTTACAACATCAAAACGCTGGAGTCGGACCCGCGTTACAACATCAAAATGCCCCAACCTCGCGTCTCAATCCTAAGACGTGAGGTTAGGGTCCTGAACGCCAACGTGGGCGTTTGACTCATTCAAATATGAGTCGAATGGTTTCAGAACCGTTTTTCCCCACGATCTGAGGAAATCACGCCCACTTAGGAGCGGATTTAGAGGGCAGTTACACCCCCTTAATCCCCTATAAAAGTGAGTAAACTCAACT